TACGGTATAAAGTACCGGTACTTTCATCTGTACAATCTATCATCTGTACATCTTTTTAACGTAAACTCCATTTATACCGCAAATATTATACCGTAATTTTTACAGAAATATTTATTTAATCGGAAGGGTTCAGTGATTTTACTATAATTATTACTGTAAAAATTACGGTATGTCAAAATTTTATTTCCGTAATATGTTACGGTAAATGAATTTTACGGTAAAAAGAATCGGCACCCTGAGTGCCGTTTTTTCCCATAATTTGATCTAGAATTTTTCACTGCGTATAAGTGTGTAACGCGTCATATCTAAAAACAAATTAGAAAGAATATGACTCATAATTTTTAATACAATTAAAAGTTTACTAAATGCTCTTAGCACAATATAAAACCTCTAAAAATAGCTAATCAATTTTAATTAATAGAATTTTACTTCAAAAGTTATATAAAACCTATATTAGTTACATAAAAAAGTTATATAAAGTTATTTATAAAGTTATATAAAATAATTTTTCATTAATCAGCAAATGATGAGGAAACTGTTTGGAAATGTTCCAAGCAAAAGTTTATATACATGAAAGATATTATGTTATTAAATTACAAAGAAATATACACATTTTAAACTAAATAGCTTAAGTGAAACAACTGTAGAGTTATCTTCAGGTAGCAAAATGCTAAATATTGCATTATACGTCTTAAAAAGTATCACATAAAGCCTAATTAACGGGTAAATAAATATATTTGTAACCTCCTTAAACTTGCGAAGTTGAACCACGTCATCTTTCTTTTTCTAAATTTGATTACAATATATATTTTGGTTCAACCTTATTGTTAAATGATTTAAATTATCAGCTTTTAAAATTTGCAGCTAATCATCACGTAAATCATGATCGAAATTATTTTTTTTCGGAAGACAACCCTGTTTTTAATACTTTTTGAATCATCAATTAGCGGTTTCATGTTTAAGGAGCATTTCCAGTAAATATTATTGCTATTTTTATGTTAATATCGTTAAACATTATTAATAACACACTACATTTATATCAATAAGAATGTCTTAAATATTCACTTCTAAGAGAATACATTTATGAATGCCCCAATCTTTATAGGCAAGAGTTTAATCCCACAAACCCGGATATTTTTAGTTGTAACTGTAACTCATGCATAGCATCTTCTATGGCACTCATTCTACGTCGCCAAAGGTGTCATTAAAACGATATTTCCTTCCATTCATTGGCAGCAAATAATCGCATGGTATCTGAACAGAATGAAATTGTGTGATAGTTATTAATCCAGACAGCATCTTACGTTCCAATTACTGCGAAATTTTTTTTAAGTGATTCTACAACTATTTGTGGCGTGACGAGAGCTATTGGTATCAATTTTAATGGTATAAGGATATGATGGTTTGGGGACAATGATTTTACAGTTTTGTTGCTTTAGAATGATATTTGAATCAATTTGTATAGAGAATTGATGGTAATGAACATTAATTGATGTGCCGCAGTCGTTAATTATTTATATAATCAAAATATTGAAATAGTTCTTGCCATTTTTGAAATAGAAATTTTTAAATATCGTAAAGGATTTGTGAAAATTGCACATTGACATATTGATTATTAATTCTTTTTACAACCCAAATATTGAAATACTTGTCGTTGTTCGAAACAGAAATTTTTAAACTACGGAAAGGATTCGTTAAAATAAAACCTTGAATTATCAATAGTTAACTCCTTATGCAATCAAAACAAGGAAAAAATATGAAGAAATAATTCTTGTTATTTTTTTAAACAGAAATTTTAAAATATAGGGAAAGATTCGTTTATATGAAACATTGACGTATAACATTCTTTAAGCAACCAAAATATAGAAATTCTCGTCATTGTTTGAAACAGAAATTTTTAAGCAACGGAAAGGATTCGTTAAAATAAAACCTTAAATTATGAATAGTTAATTCTTAATGCAATCAAAATATGGAGGAGATGTGAGGAAACAGTTCTTGACATGAAATAATTTTTGCCATTATTTGAAACAGAAATTTTAAAATATCGGGAAAGATTCGTGGAAAAGAAACAGTGACGTATAACTTATTCTTTATACAACCAAAATATTGAAATTCTCGTCATTGTTTGAAACAGAAATTTTTAAGCACCGAAAAGAATTCCTTTGAATAAAACCTTCAATTACCAATAGTTAATTCTTTATATAATCAAAAAATAGTATTGCCACTTTGTGAAACAGAAGTTATTTTAAACACCAGAAAGAATTCATGGATATAATACATAGTTTTATAATAAATTCTTTACACAATCAATTTACATCTTTATTATAGAATTATTTCCATCTTTTTATTGTGATGCCTTAGAGCATGCCTTAAAAATTATTTATTTGGTTACATTTATTTTTTAGATTTGTATTTCTTACTATATGTGGGGTAATGAGAACTCAAATTCTAAAACCTAAATTTCTGGTAAACCGTTATTACAGGCCCGGAAAAATTATTAAATGGATGGTTTAAGGTTTAAATACCGTATCTTTTAGTTTTTATTACCAAAATTATAGTTTTTTTTCTTTTTTTACCAAAAATGTCATTACCATACAGTGAGGTAATTTTTCCAAAACTTATTTTCTCCGTGCACAATATGTTTCATTAGTAAATATTAAAAATTTGATATTTTTTTTAAATATTTATATCATTATTAGCAGTTTCTGAAGCAATTGAATCTACTTCAAACAGTTAAACCTTTTTAAAGTAAATTAAGCAATTCTCTGCCATCGAAAGATTCCTCGATATGAGAAAGATGATATGAACTTATACCATCCATGCAAAGTTTCAATCTTTTTATTTAAATGTGACTCAAATCACAATTAAAATCAGTTTTCTGTCGCTATATTTAGCATGACTCAAGCCGAGAGACCTGAACAATTACCCACCCTGCCCCTTTAATGAAAGCTCATTCATTCAAATGAGATGATCGAGGCTAATGAATGATTGTAAGAGATAGAGATTGTTAGAGATAGAGATCGCATATCGCACTTATTCTTAAGAACTACAATAAGACATCTGGCTGTGATTAAAAAAAAAAAGTTTTGTCTCTTGATAAGTAAATGTCAAAAAAGGGTCAGGGCCATTAAGCGCTCGAGCTTCATTAGGCTATCTTCTATAATGACAACAATGCGATTCCCTTTAAAAGGGTTGGTCTTGCACTTTGCTAATAGCCTAACAGAAAAAGAAGAAACAAATTTATCCTCATTTCCTCAATGAAGATGGAATTGGTATTGTTTTGGAATGGAACGTGATCGATTGTGAGGTGTGTATTGTGAAAGGTGAAAAATCAGTCAAAGCTTTCCCTTGAAGTGAATTTCATTGTTATGTATTCTTGTCGGGTTTATTTTTAAATTTCCCCACACATGAATTTTTGTTTGGGATATGGTGCTTCGTAACAACCTGGAATAATTGTCGATGGTTTTGAAGCAATTCAGAGTAGACATTTTAGGAATGCCAAGGACTGATATTTTAAAGTTTTAAAGAAAGGTTTCCCCATGATATTTGTATTTAAGTCTTGACTTACGCTTCTGAAGCTTGGACAATGACAAAACTTGAGGAAAATTGTATCACAATATGTGAGAGAAAGATTTTGCGGCGTATACTTGGTGGTGTAAATGAAAACAGTAACTGGAAAAGGAGATCTAACTTTGAACTGTACAAGATTCATAAACGACCCGATGTTATTAAATACATAAAAATAGATCGAATGAATTGGATGGCCTACGTGATTCGAAAAAGTGACGACAATAGAATAAAAAAGATACTGCTTTTTAGACCCACTGGAACAAGAAAGCGGGACAGAGGGATTCGGTGGTGTCTGATTTTCTTGCAATTAATGAAAAGAATTGGAAATCAAAGATAAATCGGAAGTCGCTACATGGGGAAATCTTCAGAGGAAGGCATTGGCCCACCTTGGGCAAGTCTGACCAACTATGAGGATGATGATGATTTGTATTTAAGAGCTTATTTTAGAATTCTGATCCAACAAGAACCACCTTGTTTCTTTTTTTCCAAAGTGAATTAGAAGTTGGAATTTATATTTTTCCATAGTATTGTTTTTTTCTTCTTTTTTTTCCCCTTTTGAAATCTGACATTTTTTTCTTATCGTGGTTGCATTGTGTCAGTGTGTGCCATTATGCCCATAGGGATAGTTTTGAAGATTCCTATTTTAGATGGCTTGTAGTCATATTTGTCATGCATGTTTGTGCATGTAAAATTTTTATTCAACGTTAATTTAAAAAAAATGCGCTTAAATCATTGTATATGTGAAGTTAAATTTTAAAACTTCAGTGTTTTTTAATTTTCAAAAAATGAGGATGATGCAATTTTAGTTTGAGAACTTATAAAGGAGTTTTTTTAGAGAAAATTCTTCCCACAAACTCTGCCACTGCTTAGTAAACATCGAAATTTTAAATGTTTACATTTTTGAAAATAGCATATTTTATGATTTTACTCAGTGTTCCGTAAGCTGATATTCTAATAACGTTTTATTGTTACTTGATTAAAAATTCCATTCGCTTCAAAAATATACAAGTTGAAAATAACAGTTGACATGCTGTAAGCGTTCAAAATTAATAAATTTTCAAGACTTTCCAGAGCGACGAGTCTCGAAAACGGTTGCCATTTTTTGAGTGCTTGAAGCATGTCGACTGTTATTTTCAATTTATATATTTTTGAAGTGAATGCAGTTTTTTATCAAGTAATATCTTACCACTTTACTTTCGTAAGAATATTTATTTAAAACTTGTTAACATGCTAATTTTTTGTAATATTTATTTATAAAGGACTGCATAAGGAATTATTTTTGCTACTACAAATTACGCTTGCATATTTTGATTTTAGAACACGCAGTGTGTATTATATAAACACGAACAAAATATTTAGCATAAAATGTAATGATTTCAAAGCGCTTATGAAATGAAAACGCCATTTAAGAAATAGATTTTGATAAATACCTGAGTTCTGGACATGATTCGACAAGAAGTTTTACACAGTCGAGGCACCCTTTGGCCGCCGCATAGTGGAGGGCCAAAGCGCCTGTGGCCGTTGTCTCCAACGCAGGCATTTTCGCCTCTCGAAGAAGCCACTTTAGAACGCTGCGTCTGCCGTATCTGCAAAAGAATAAAAAAAAATTAACGTTTTTAGTTATAAAATTTACAAAAAAAAATTATAAAATTAGATTTGTATAAACGTAGGATGAAGATACTCAAATTGCGAATTTCCAACTTATAATTTAAAAAAAAAATTGTAACAAGTAGCTACTATATTGTTTCTCAAAGTCTTTATTTACCGTGGCAATAAACTTTCCATAAATATTTTATTTGCGAAATATTTATCAAGTACTTTTTTTCAAAATATTTATCAAGTACTTATAAAATACAATAATTAAAATCAACTATATTTTCGAATATTACACGAAGTAGTTACATACTTAGATGTCATTTGACGGCTTGATTTTAAAGTATGAGAGAATATCAACATCCACCTGATAAGCGGGTTTGTATTTAATTCGAAAAGAATCTTCACATATTTTAAAATTGCTAATATTAAACAAATAACAATTCACAGAAAATGTACACAAATAAATGAAATTGTGCTTCGTTTTTTCACATTTTTACGCACAGATTAATATTTAATTTTAATTGAAAAAATCTCATCCTTAATAAACATTTAAGGAAAAAAAAATTTGAAAGACCAGAAATTTTACGCATTGCCTGTAATTTAAGAACCAATTCGAAAAGGTCGTGATTATACACCTTTACCTATTATGAGTAATTTTGTTTCACCCATTTATGTCTAACATTCTTTTTAAGAAAGGTGTTAAATATGGTCTTGGCCTTCCATGGGCTACACTGTATTTAGTTTTAGTTTTTTTGTTAAATATAAATCATAAGCTCAACGAAACTATTTTCCTAGTAAAATTGACGAACATTATATTTACGCCTTTATTTCTACAAGATTTTATCGATTGCAGCCTGTATGAAGTGTTCGGTTGTGAATATAACTAACAAGAAAATAGATTTTGCAAGCTCCAAGAAAAAGCAAAATTTATAATCTTGGTTACACATTTTTTTTCTTTTCTATTGAAAAATGGACATAAAGATACCTTAAAGAATGCAAGCACCTTTTAGAGGTGCTCTTACAAGGGAAGGGCACATAAAATCTTGTCAGAAAACGCTAAATTGAAATATGTTATATATTTGAGACCATCAAAATGGGTCCTAAATAATTTGCCTCAAAACACATTTTATGCTGCTTGCAAAGTATAGAAAAAGACGGTAAGAATCGTGACGCCTGGTGACGTAACGGTGACGCACAAAGAACTAAACTTCCATTTTTGCTGTTTTTTTTTTTTTTTTCCTGTTAAAGTTTTTTCTTTCTTAAATGTTTTAATTTATATATTATTACTATAATTTTTGAACTTTTATTTTTGAAAACAGCTTAATTTTTTATAATGGTACTAAAAATATTTATCACATGATACATAAAGTATAATTCGTCGCAATAAGCACACGTTTATGAATAGTTGATTAGATCAGTTGAATTAAACATCTGTATGAAAGTGAAATTTTGAACAGCTTTTTCATAATAATCTGGATAATATCCATCATATTCATATTAAAAGAATGTCTGATCTTTACGTCTTTAAATATTTCTAATAAAAACTGGCTAAACGAAAGCAAAATAAATTAAACCACAAATTTCTGTGTTGAGTTTGACAAAGTTCTGTGTCCACAAATTTATTGAAAAAGATAAACTTTTAAACTTAAAAAAAAAAGACTATTTTAGTAAATAATAATTAAAAAAATAATATAGTGTTCTTGTGAACTGAATAAAATTTTCTAAAATAATATAAATAATTGAACTTGATTAAAAAATGAAAAACTCTAATTAATTATATACAGTTAAAATATAAGTATGTGAGCAACCTATGGTAATGTGCATACTTTAAACTTCAATTGCGCACTTAACTTATAAACAAATTTTTTTTTACGAGACAAGAAATATTGAAATTTATAGTGTGCACATTATGTAAAAAAGAGAAAAAAACACTTAATAACTCAATAAAAAATATATTGTACTATGACTGAATTTCTAAATTGTTTTGCATTTTAAAATTAATTTTTTCAACAAACTAGCACTTAGGTTCATAATGGACTATTATCATTATTATTATAAAAGTATCCGTTCTTTATTCTTTGATAAACAATCATATTTATCAATTTTCATAATTTATTTTATTAATATTTTATTTGAACTTATGAAATATGTATGTAAATAATTGTTAAATTAAAAATAGTGGGAGCATTTATAAATAATAACTTTCTCCGTGCAATTTCATGTATTATTAAAAAAGAAAACGCAAGTTTCAACAAAAATTAAATTTGAATAAATAGTTATCTTAAAAAACTTATATAATGCAGGAAATAAAAAAGTATATTCAAACATAGCGTATTTTCAAACCAAGAAAAAAAATTAAAACTACTCAAAAAAAATTTGGTATCTCATCTCAGTAAAGTTACACTCAGAAAAAAGTATGGCCAAAACTACCAGAATACGGTTTTGATTCCGGTTCTATGAGAACACCAAAAATTCGGTAATTTTTACGAAAGCGCTTTGGTAATTTAGTGATTTGGGTAAAATAAACAATAAATTGTGGTTTTATAAAATGTGATAAAATTAGATAAGCATAAACAACATAGCATAAAAACCATTTACTCGGTTTCTTTTCAATTTGGTATTTTTTACTAAATATGTGGTAATAAGAACTATAATTTTTAAAACCAGAATTTCTAGTAAACCGTTACTATATGAATGGAAAAATTACGAAATTAATTATATATTTTGGTTTATAATATTATGTTTTTTTATCAATTGCTTTATTTTAAAAGTAAATTTATTTTAAAAGTAAATTTATTAATTTTATTTTAAAATATGTTTTATTTTAAAAGTAAAAATCGGAGAAAGGAATTAGTCCAGAAAGAAAGATGAGGAAGGAAGATTTTATCATTTATTGAATCCACTTTCACTTTGATAACTCTACTAAAGATCGGGTCAGAAGATTTTAGCTCAATATACCAGAAGGAAGTATTTCTGGAAATTCAATTATTTTTAAATTAAACGATTGTATGATGTTAGGAGTAGTTTCTTTTCTGCATTGAAGCTCTCTCACGATTTTAATAATAAATTTAGAACAATGAAAGTTTCCAGTCTTTGTTATAGATTCAATCATTGTTATAAAATAAAATAACAAAAATAATGTTTACGTACTAATGTCTTTCAAAGGTAATTGAAATAATAATGTACATAACAACGGATTGAAGGATCTTAATCAGATCTTAAGCAGAGGGATCTTAATCTAAAAATGCTTAGAAGTTTAATTTTGAATTTTTTTTAACAATCGTAACAAATTTGTATCATTTTACGTTATAGTAGTTCCTTATTTATTAAGAGTAGACTTTTTTTTAATAAATTAATGTATTCATAAAGTTGAAATATTGTCAATATGGTTTTGCATATCAAAAAGATTACTTAATTGATGAGAAATAAAATGAAAACGTTTCCATTTTTAACTATGAGCAATGTTACGAAAAACCTTCTTTTAATTTCCAGCTTTCTTTTAATGACAATATAAATTTCTGATTTTTTTTTACTTTTAATTTCTGTTAAAAATAAATTAAATTAATATAAACAGTTGTTTCTGAAGCTTTAGAAAAAATTTTTTTAATTATTTCTGATTTAAGCTTTCCTTGTTAAAAAATTTTACCGACTTTATTTTTTTATTGTTATAATTATTATTATTTTGCAAGAAAAACTTCAACTTCCTAGCATTGCATGCGAAAAAAAATTTGGTAAAAATACTCCACTGCATGGTTAGGGCATTTTTGATGAAAAAAAAACATAATTTTAGTTAAAGAAACCAAAACATAAGGTAAAGCCATTCATTCCATAACTCATTGGGAAACGGTTTATCGAAAACTCTGCTTTTACAAACTAGGATTCCTACTTCCACATATTTAGTAAAAAATACAAAATTGAAAAGTATATTTAACCAAATAAATAGTATATTTAATGGTATATCGTATAAATGGATAAAATTCGCAATTTTTACCACATTTACCAAATTTTTATTACCGATTATCAAACGTTATTTTATTGTTAATTTTACCAAAATCATTACCGCAGTGCTTCTGTTAAAATTACCGAGATTCTTGTGTGTTCCTATAGAGACAGAAAAGCATTGTAAATTTCATCATATTCTGGTTGTGTCGACCATATATTTTTTTCTGATTGATTTGGTGTAATTTTGAAAGCCTCAAATTAAAAATAATAATTTTCTAGCTTAATAAACTATTTTAAATAATTAAGAAAATTGCTTGGTTTTAAGAATTATTTAGAAAATGACAAACATATAGTGTTTATTTTAGTAAATAATTTTGAATGATTTTATCAATTATTTATTAAAAAGATCATGAATCAATTTTCAGAAAAAGCATCGTTGCATCCGATATCGAAAAAATCAGTGATATTTTCCCTTTCAAGATTTAAAATGTTGTTTTAAAACTCCCTGCACTAATTTTATTTACAAATTTGTTGATTTGATTGATTATTTTAAGCAGATATTATTCTCGTGAAAGAAATATCATTATAGATAATTTAATGAAACACAAAACATTTTAGCCATATGGAATATTATGATTTTATTAAAATTGTTTTAATTATCTATCTGACGATATTTATTTACAAAAATTTTTTAGTGCATTGATTAGACTTTAATCTTTGTAAAAAGTTTGTTTATAAGAAACTGACTATAATTTTTTCTAAAATTCACCTTCCATCAAACAGAACAAAGAAAAGCAAGTCGTGAGAAGTGATTAGGGAAAGTGGTTTCATGAATTTAAAATTTAAAAGAACTAATTTTAAATTTATAAAAATATTTCATTATAATGACTTAAAGAGATAATAAAAATTTCCCTGCCTTATCCGGGTTTCTTTTGTACTACAGGGGGGGAGGGGTATCATGAAAAAATTCGAAATTTCATGCCGATTAAAAGTTGTAACTGTGTCAGAATATTTAATCAAAAGATTTTAAAAATAAAAAGGTTTTCCG